AAGATTTGTTTAGGAATAAAGTTGTAAAACTAAATAAAATAAGTAATAATAACACAGGAATATCAAGGAATTTGACACACTCAAAAATAAAAAATATTTCACATAAAGATATGTCTCCTTCAAATATTTCAACTTACATTGATGTAAGAAAATCAATTGAAAAAAGCAAAAAAGAACCATATTGGAAAACTTAAAATATACGATGAGTCAATCCTAAGGCATTGCATGAATCTAACTTCAACTTTTCATTTTCTTGCTTTGTTGTAAAAAGGAATCTATAAGGCTATTTGGATTGACAATAAATTGAGCAATGAACACTTACGCAACCAAAAGATAACTTATAAAAGTTTTGGCATAAGAAAAAAAACTATCAAGARTATCATAAAAAATCAATCTATAATATATTGTTTTAACACATATAAAGCAAGTAAATTAAWGAAAGCCCAAAAGATATTTATATTATACATAACTAATCTCATAAAGCAAAACGATTACTTAGTGGAGAGAGAAACGTAAACGTCTTGTATGTCCAGAATTATGAAYATCGAYGRYTGCAATCATGTTGCACCTTAAGAAATGAGTGAATACCTTTAAAATTCTTCAATTAATTTATCATATAATTGTATTATTAAAAATAAATTATATATGATTCATATAACAACTCATACATGATCCAGACGACTTTACCCTGCGACTTAAGTGGCCTCAAAAGTCGCAAGCTTCCATTTAATGTAAAATCACATGTGAGTTTGTACATTAAGGACATTTTTCTTCTTTTTTTAAATAATTAACGTTCTCGTTCGAACTTTCCTCTATGTATGTATTATTATTATTATATATATATATATATATATATATGTGTGTGTGTGTGTATTTATATATTTGTGGATTCTAATTTCATTTAAAAAATAAATATGATTGAAATTTTTTTAATGAACTACCTCTTGATCTTATATTAATATATTTTTAAATATATATTGATATATCGAGAAATTTTGATATATTAATTGATTTTTGATAAAAAAAAATTCAATTGTCAGTACATAGAAATTTATATACATTGACGTAAATAAAAATAAATGTATGTACATTTTAGTTTTATTTATAAAGAAAAAAAATACGATTGAAACTTCTCATTGAACCACCTCTTGGTTTTTAATTTAATATATTTTTAATTATATATTGATATATTAATTGATTGAGAAACTTTAATGTATTTTGATATATATTGACTGATTTTGATGATTTTTATTTTTTCAATTGTCATGTAATTAAAAATATACATTTATTGTTATAAAATAAAATATATGTAGTTTTATGTATTTGTGGATTCAAATTCATTTACAAATAAATAAATAAAATTAAGTTAAAAAAGTAGGAAAATGAAAGGTTTAGCAATTAATATGTTGATTGTATATCATAAATAAAAATAATAATAATAAATATGATAGAAAACTTTTCATTAAATAGCCATTTGGTTCTTACTTCACACACCGCATGTTGCATAGTGATGAAACTTGTTTTGTTAGAAAATACGTAATCAAATTAAGGTGAAACGTAATTTCATAATCAATTGTATTAT